CATTTTCAACCCCAAAACCCCAAAACCCCAAAACCCCAAAACCCCTAATCAAATAATTATTATTGAATATTTGTTCAGCATGCTTGCCCATTATAACTGATCACCCTGTTGGCTGGCTCATTTAGAACCTGCTACCCCTGAACACTCAAATGAACCTGAGAATTACTTAGTAGACACTTTGATGTTAGCGCTCGTGGCTCCCTTCTTGGCCACTTGCCCAATGTCGTTGGCATTTCCTTGAGGACCTCTCATCCTGAGCTTCTTCTTGCCCTTGGACCTTTGCCACTTGGGAATCCATCTTTCTGGGTCTGGCATTGGGCCTGGGTTTTCAGGGTCGAAGTTCTTGGGGTACTTGACTTTCTTGTTCTTTTTAGCTTTGGGGATGAAAATGCTTCCTCCCTTCTTAGTCTCTTGGACTTTGGTGTCCTCTTTCTTCTTACGTTTCTTATCTCTAATATCTGTTGATAGAGGCTCTTGTAACAATTCATGAAGGTCTTCATTATCTTCCAACTCAGGTGTGGGAATGTTTAGTGATTCCAAATATTCAAAAGCTGCTTTAGTGTCACTCTCAGCAAGAGCACTTAGGTATCCAGCTTTGATATTCATATCATCAGTGGAGTCTTTGACTTTCTCAAGGATTTTCAAAGCAGTGAAGAATTCCTGGGTCTCAATCAAAATTTGGGCTATTATCACAAGGAACTCAGTCGGAAGTTCAGAAGAGTTGTTTGAGGTGAACTCAATGATTGTGTTCTTCTCTTCGGTAAATTTGTTATCGATCGTAGCTTTGAGAAGGAAGCCAAGAAGCCTCCCGTTTGTTTCATTATTATCTTGACAATATTTGATAAGGTCCTTGATTGCATCCCTGAAATGACCTTTGGTAATCTGGATCTGAGCTTTTAGTAATGCTACAATAATTGGTTTATCCTCATATTCTTTCAGTATACTCTCATAATCAAGTTTTGTCTGGGAAAGAGCTTCTAAATTAGCTTTAAAAGCATCTTTCTGGTGCTGGTTAATATCTTGAGAGTTAGAAACACTTGAGATTAGCCCATGAAGTCCACTAGTGCTATTTGCAAACCCTAACTTTTTCTTTATTATAGCCAGATTAATGATATAAGCTGCTTTATTTTCTGGTAATTTGAAAGAATCTGCTTCTCTATCATCTAGCTTAAAATCATTCCATTCAAATTCTGCATAATTTACTGTTTGAGAGATGATCTTTGCAGCAAGGTATGAGGAGAGGACCTGATATTTATCATTTCCCTCTTCATTATTCTCCTTGGCTATCTCATAACTTTCCTTGAGCTTCTTGGCTGCAACCTTCTCTTGTCCCTTAATACTCGCAAAGGCTGTGGCTGTGTTGAATAAATAGTCTGCATTTACTTCACCAGAAAGCTTTTCTTCAAGTTTCTTGATTTTCTCTGCATCGGTTTCTGAGGTATAACTAGCAAGCATATTGGTCAAGATCTCGGTGAGGTCATTCTCAAGATGTTCATTACCCGAATTGATTATCTCCTCTAGCACTTCAGATGCCTTTTCCTTCTGGTCAAGCTTATAAAGAATCTGTGAAAATAGGAGACCTGAGTAATACTCATTTCTATTAATTCCGAGGGCTTCAAACTCATCATGTGCTTCTTGTTGCTTTCCAAGAGTATGCAAGCAGTATACATAAAGGAAGGGATGAGCTGCCTTGTCAGCCTGGAGTTCATTAAGCACGTGCTGAGAATCTCCTTCCCTAATCCTGGCAACTCTAGTGATATCTCTGCAAAGAGCATCATCTGAGTCACTAAGATCTTTAAGCTCCTTTACTGCTTCAAGGATCTTCTGAGAATCGTCCTCTCCAATCGCTACTGAGATCTTGTTGAGAATCTCAATCCTAGATTTGTCAGCTTCTTCCATTTTTAATAAAATTTTATAAACAGCTGTTTTTCAAGATTTTACCAATAAAAGGGGTTTTGGGGTTTTGGGGTTTTGGGGTTTTGGGG